ATTTCCTAATTCAAGATATTTTTAATTCTCTATAGATTTTCTTTTTGAGAACTTTTAGCTACACATATCGTATGGATATGTAAGACGTAATCAATCGTTGAGTTATTTTATTTCAGGGACCAAATACTAGTCTTAAATGTTGCAATTATCGTCCAATATATTTGACTCATATATTTTTAAAAATTTAAAGATTATTATGAATTTTCAAATTTATGTCTATGCTTTAACATGACATGTACTATTAAAAACAAGTCATAACTTAACATGTCGTAGTATAAAAGTTAAGAGTGTCAATCTGAATTTAACTCAACTAATTAGAATATTTATTAATGGTCCGTTCAAATCGTCATACCCAATCGTATGAAGTAAAATAAAAAAGAAAAATATATTTTAATAAGCTAGATGTATTTTAAACCGAATTTTTGGGCCCACTCATTTTTATTTTTAACAAAGTGTTATACCCTTCCATACCATGTGATATCAAATCATATTTCATTAATCAAATAAACATATTACATTAAAAGAATATATATTATTTGAGTTATGTAAACTCAAGATTTCACAAAACACTATGTTAAAATATTCAACCATTTGATAATTATTTTTTATTTTTGAAAATTAAGCTTGTAAATATTATTTGTATGCATGTATTTCTTTGTTTTACACCTACTTTTTAAAAATCTAAGTTAAAATTCAAAAAAAAAAAAGTAGTTTTCTTTTTTCTAATTGGGCTAAAAGTTTTCTTTTTCTTAATTTTTTGGAATTGATGCCACAACCCAAGACTTCATGATAGGTGATATCATAAAGTCGAAGGCCGTTACCACTACACCGTCCCAACTAAAAGTTCAAATGTGTTTTTAATAAATCTTAAAACATGTCAAAGCAAACTTAGCTCATCGATATTTAAGGTTTTATATTTTTTCAAATGGTAATTTTTTCACCTCACTTAACATTTTTTTTTTTAAATATTTAAAAAAATTATATAACAAAACAAATCAACGAAGAGGTGAAACTAATTTTTTTAAACTTGATATTTAGTAAGAACAGAAAGGAAAATAGTTATAAATAAACACAATTATCAAACTTGTAATTTAAGTTCATTTATACCGTAAGAAACCATTTTGGGTGGAATGAGTTAAGATCATGTGACTGATAATTGAATGGATTCAATGAAAATTATAGATTTAGCCCTAAAACAAAAATGGATTCCGCTGTCTCATCCAGATCTTGAGGCCAAGGAAACTTCTGGACGCCATATAAATACATCAGTTGGGGGTTTTATTAACTCAATAAAATTACAGTAAATCCTCCGGAAGCTAATTGGGCGGCGATGGAACTGGAAGGGGCGAAATCGTCGAAGGCGACGGGGCAGAGGATCGTGGTGGCGGTGGACGAGAGCGAGGAGAGTATGCTCGCCTTGCAATGGTGTCTCTCAAATCTCACTTCTCACGACACCAAAAACACTCTCGTTCTCCTCTATGTCAAGCCTTCTCCCGCCATCTCCATCTCCTMCTTCGATGCGCCTGGTCAGATTCAGATTCCGATTCCGATCACTAATTTTCCTCGCATCGGAGATATATTTGTGGTGATTGATTCTGATTGATTTTTTTTTTTTTTTGGCGATTTTTATGTATTGAAATGAAGGTTATGTGTTCTCGAACGATGTGATTTCGGCCATGGAAAAGCAGAGCAAGGATTTGGTTAGGTCGGTGATGAAGAGAGCTGAAGCGGTTTTTGTGAATTTCAACACTAACGTAATTAATCGAATCAACAATCTCTCATCTCGCTCTCTGTGATCTTCTGGCTTGTTTGTCTGTGATCTGTGATCTGTGATCTGTGTTTGTTATTTTATGAGCGGCATTTTTTCGAACACCTGATGCAGGTAAATTTAGAGAGAGTAGTGGGGACGGGAGATGCCAAGAACGTGATATGCCGCACAGTGGAGAAGATTGGAGCCGATACCTTGGTAATGGGATGCCATGGCTATGGCTTCTTCAAGAGGTGCGTATCTCCAAGTTTTGATTTATATACATTTTTTCTTGGGTTAGACTAGAAATTTAGAAGTTTTCAGTCTACTGATTTTTAAGTTTGTGTTAAATAGTATCTAATAGACAGACGGGCTTTAAATAGTTACCTAAACTTAAAAAATGTTTAATAAATTTCGTGCCCAATCTTCGCTCCAATCTGGATCTACTAATTCCCTAAACTTAAAAATGTTAATAGGCTCTAATCTTTCAATTTTGTGTAACCATTGTTCTTCAATATTAAAGATAAATGACAAAATAAAGTAGCCATAAAATGAAGTAAAACATGTAAACCTCCAGCCATCTTTTTTGTCATAAATTGAATGGTTTGCCATATTAGTAGAATAATGTGGGGCCCTTGAAATAAAAATAAAATATTTATAAATTGAATGAATAAATACTACTTTCTTAAAAGTCATTTAGCCTACTTTAAAAAAGTGACAATTTTGATCTACTCATTTTCATTTTTATTTCATTTCGATCAAAATTTAACATGAAACTTCTAAATTTTTTGAATGTAAATTTGTATAATAAATAAGTTGTAAGTATAAGGATTGAAATAAATAAAATCAAATTTACAATGACCAAAATAATAAAAATGGTAAGTACAGGAACTAGGATAAATAAAAGTTAGAATTACCATGGATAAATAATATTTTACCAATAATATCAATGATGTGTCAAATCGTGAATGGAATAGATAGATATTATTTTGCTTTACATTGTCTCATATGAATCAATATTTATACTATCAGCTTTTACATGGAACTATGATTGGAAATTTAATTCAGATTCTAGGGGTGGAATTGAAGCTAAAGTAATGTCTAGTTCAAAATTAAACCTTAAATACAAGGGTCTTAAATTATGTTGTGTAACACATTTTGTTGGTTTATTGGGGGTTGCAGGGCGTTGCTTGGAAGTGTGAGCGATCACTGCGCCAAATATGCCAAGTGTCCTGTGGTTATTGTGAAGCATCCTTAAGATTTCTCGAGAGAGCTCGATTTCATAATGCATATTTAAGAAGTAAATAATTTAAATGGAACTTAATTTGCTATGTCTTTAAGTTTTGTTCCCAAATAATTGAAATTAGCTTAGGTTAATTGCTTGAAATTTTAGTATCAAGATATTAATCAAGAAGGTACGGTATGGGATGAATTTTTAAATGGAACATTTTAAAGTTAATTAAAATCAATGATCAGAGGACAAAAGAAAATAATTGAAACCAAAATGAATAAAAGGACGAAATGGACCTATCGGAACTATGAAGATTGAAGATCAATTAAATTATTGACAAAAAAACAAAGAGGGGTTTAAGGTGGGGCCCAATAACATTATTAGAATGATATAATTGGAGTGAAAGTTTAAAGAATAGCAATTCAATTGCCAAATTATTGAAATAATAAATCAATTAGTCCGTGATTTAAACAGACTTTTTCTTATTATTATTGATTATTCGTATATCGACTAAAATAATTGACGTAAGCATGGTTGGTCATGACATCATTTATAAGGAGAAAAAGTAAGATTTATTAAAAGAAATATAATAAAATTATAATTAGAGAAAACCATCCACTACATGGAAATATAAGAATATTTGTCCCATCTTCTTTGTATCTTTTGCTATTTGTTGAACTAAAAAACAGGTATATCTATCAGCAAACATTAACTCCTCCATGAGGGAACTCATTCTTCATTCTCTACTTTTGTTGTATTAAAAAAAAAAAGAGGGATATATCAACTAAAATTTACCCTAATTTAAATCAAAACATTCGCATCAATTCTTGCACTTATTATGAATTTTTTTTTTTTTTTGATATTCTTCTCGAATCATAATTCGGACATGATTTTCATATGTTTTAGGAGTTGTGTACTCCGATATTATTAGAAAAATAACTTAATTTCTTCTCGATAGTTTAGTCGTTATGTTTTACAAGTTGTGTACTATGATATTACTAGAAAAGTAACTTAATTTAGTCATTAATTCTAACAAGCTATGACTTCTTTGAATTGCTCTCAAACCAATTTCTTAAAAATTATCCTTGAATTTCTTTGGTTCTATTTTCCTTTAAATTAAGTCTACGAGTGAGGGTAAAGATTTAACTTTCGATCTTTAGTCAAATATATATATTTTAACAAGTTGAACTATGTTTACGGGTAAAAAAAATGCTATTCATCCTAAATTATTTGTCATGTTTTTTTTTTATTTTATTGAATTTTAACTTGCACCACCAAGACAAACAGAAAGGCGAATTTAGTTGCGTTCTCAACTTGCTCACCCAAGAACAATTTGGTCTTTTGCTTCATAAATGGTCCAGTACCTTCAGAAAACTTTCAAACACGCAAGTGACATTTAAGAATGATGCTATTAAGAATTTTTCTTTATCATTGGAATTTAAATGTAAATACAATAAAATTTATGGATTTTTTCAAACAATTTTATGGAATTTTTGAGCTAGTAGCTTATTATTATTATTAAAAATATTTGTAGATAGAGTTTTTAAAATAATAAAAGTATGGTTTAATTTTCATTTTAGTAGCTTTTAAGAAAAAAGAATTATCATTTCGGCCCTCATGATTTGAGTTTTATTTTAGTGGTCATGTGATTTGTGAATTTAGGTTGGATGTCTTTTTTGAATTTTTTTTTTCTTTTAGTAAAACAATTTTTTATAAGTACATTTTTTTTTTTAGTATTAATTAAGTGCCTACAATAAAAGTACTTTAACGGGGTTTTAAATTTATTTTCATAGTGCATTATACAACTTATTTAATCAGTAAAATGATGAACACCATGAACCTCGACTTGGACATTAGGATGATCTGACAGGTGAGCTAGAGTAGACCAGACAGGTGACCTGCAAGACAAAGAACACCCTGATGCCAAAGTCAGGAACAATCCGAAATGCTTTTTAGAGAGAAAAGGGATGTTCGCATACCTCAAAACAAGAGTGAATGTGATCTATCTATAGGCAACTTCCCTAACAATCTTTCCGACAGCGCTTCAACGACCCTTTAAGATTGCCATGAATCGTGGCGCACTGTCGTGGAGTCTGTCGGAACCCGAGACTGACCCGAGGTGAAGCTAGGCGGTTCGTCTTAATAAATGAGAATGAGCCTTCAGGAAGCTTGGTCGGCTCCGCCACACAAGACATCGGCTCAGCCACATAAATGAAACAGAGGCAATGAAACTTCAAGCTTATAGATGGAGGCCATGTGTACTTCTTATCATCCAATCATCATATACCAAGTGTAAGGTGAGAATCGCAACTAAATATTATGATATTTTTATAAAGTGCTTTTATTTATTATTTTTTTGGTAGAGTATTTTTACTTGACTAAAACAATCTTGGGTACTATTTTAAAGTCATTTCAAATCGCATTATTATAGACTTTATTTTTTGGTAAAATCTTTCAAAATATTTATACCAAGGTTAACATATTTCTTATGTGAGACGTTTCGTGGTGGAAAGATGCAACGAAATGGTGTTTAATATGTAAATAACAAATGCATTGCTTGTATTGGATAATAATAATTTATTAATCATTGATTGGTTTAATGATAGCAAATTTGTCTTTTATTTTTTTATTTTACTTTTTTTCTACCATCAATCAATAAAATATTTTTTTGTTGAGCTGAATATTTATTGAGATAATCACCTCCAAAAATTGTATTTCCAACTAATTTAGATGAATTAAAATCATTTTATTTTTATATTGTAATGTTAAAGGCTAAATTAAACTTTTATTTAAAAAAAAATTTATCTCAACCATCCTATTCTTTATTTTTCTGGCTCAAAAAGTCAACTTTTTATTTGTATTTTGGATAATTATACTTTTAACTATAATCTAAGAATAAAAATTTTATTGTTAGGAAAGACCAGTCATCCTAGAAAATACAACACAACTAGAAAATGATTTTCAAAGTAATTGATATTTTAATTGTTTTAATAAAAATCTTACCTGAACTATTTAATTAAAAATCTTGTCAAACAAGTTTTTTGCATAAAAAAATCTTAAAGACAACATTACGATTAAATCACTTTTGAGTACATAAAGCATGAATTAGATATAAATTAGTGACCAAAAAGTGCAAATTGATGGTGTTATGATTGGGACATTGGTGTTGTTCAATCCTTCCGGATGAGATATCATTGTAGGGATATATGTGTAATTACAATTAAATTATTTCTAAAATAATAGTAAAATTTAAATTATAGTGTTTTTTAGTCGAAGCAGATGTAGTGATGGGATTCTTTTAACCTGCCCTTCAGTTATGCTTGGATTGCTTATTTATTTTATTTTAGTTTTTAAAAATTTAAATATATATATATATATATTTAGTACATTACATGGGACGGAAGATCAAACTCGCAACCTCTCGTCACTGAGTTGTGCTCGCTTTAACAAAAATTTAAATATAATTAAATTATATATTTAGTTCTAAATTTTTAAATTTTTGTTTATTTTTATTTTTTTATATCCACGAGTGTTTGTGCCAGCTTACGCGTATCTTGACTAATCTCATGGGGCATCTGCCTTACCCGTAGGTGGCCATCATGAGATTTGAACTCATTTCCTCTTAATTAAACCTAGTCTTTTTAGACCAATGAGACATCCATGATGGTTAAATTTTTGTTTATTTAATCTTTATAGTTGTTTAAAAAATTTATAAGATACCCTTGACCTTTTAATTTTGTATCTATTAAGTCATTAAATATCTAAATCTACTGGTACTAAAAAAAAATATTCTACATCTACTCGAAATCAACTTATCATGTAATCCTTAAATAATAAACTCATCATGTCACGTAAGTATTAAATTGATAAGTTAACGATATGGATCTATTAAATAAAAAATCGAAAATTTAAGAAACATATTAGACAAAAAAATATTGAAGGAAACTGAAACATTGTGATCGGTAGTTTTATACATTTATGATAAATTACAAAATGCATTTTAAACCTATATCTAATGGTTATCAGAGGCACATAGATATCAAATATAAAAATATTTGGGCGCTTAGTAATCAACATTCATCTTTTGTTGACTGCCATTAAATTTTTGACAAATAGAAGAAAGAAATGCATAACAAATTATAATTTCTTTTACTGTTTTTCAAAAGATTAAAAAGATGCTAAAAATTGGTGTTTAGCACAAAGGTTTGTGTTGACCCGTGATCAGTACACCTAAGTATTTTTCTTTCGAAGAATATACATCAAATAATTATTGTGGGAAGCTATACTTGAAGTATGGAATGGAAAGATTATGACCTATCAGATACTTTCAACGTTAAGTTAAGATATCAAATTGTAATTACGCTAAGCATAATCCAATTAGTTAAAGACGTAATAGTGATATTTGGGCAGTGAAAAGAAATTGTAATTTTAAAATGTCATATTATAATATATAATATATATATTAATACGTCATAAACTATGTTGAAACAATAAAAGAACAAAAGGTCAGTGGTGTGTGATTTGGAATTACAATTAAAAATTAAAATTACACCACCGAACAAAAGCTGTATTTTCAATCCCTTCCGTATTCTCACCTCTGCATCCGAAATTCCTCTCTGAGTGGATCGGAGATCGGAGACCACAAATTTTCATCTTCTTTTCCCTCCGATTCTTCGTCTTCATCCTCATCGGCGACCTAGATCCCTTCCAATTTCCCTCCGATCTGCTTCAATCGCCTCCGCCAATGTTCCTCATTGACTGGTTCTACGGAGTATTGGCCTCCCTCGGCCTCTGGCAGAAGGAGGCCAAGATCTTGTTCCTCGGCCTCGATAATGCCGGAAAGACCACCCTTCTCCACATGTTGAAGGACGAGGTCTGTTTTCTTTCTTCTTTTTTGTGTGTGTTCGATTTCAGTTTTTACCTGTGGATTTTGTGAGTTTAGATTTTGGGGGAAACGATGTGGTTTGCTGTTAATCCGTGAGGAAATGTTTCTGGATTTTGATGTGTTTGTCATGGTGTGGCTCGGTTATTGTTTCTTCTGTTTGGTTTGGTTTCGTTTGTAGAGGCTAGTTCAGCACCAGCCTACCCAGTACCCGACGTCGGAGGAGTTGAGTATTGGAAAAATCAAATTCAAGGCCTTTGATTTGGGAGGACATCAAATTGCTCGTAGAGTCTGGAAGGATTACTATGCTAAGGTAACGTTCTTTAGGAGTCAAGATGATTCTATTTACATTTTCGTTTGTATTCTTTGCTATCTCTGTTGAGGAGCAGTTTACTACGAAATCATTGAAATGGAAAAGAATTGTTTCTTGGAGCTCGTACTTTCTAGCAATTGTTATATGTTTTCAGATTAGAATTATGTTTGATTCCCAACCAATGGCAAGAAATCCCTGGGTACAGTGTCATGACCTTAATATTTGATATATTTTGTATAATTATGCTCCAGTAGTTCTTTATTTCTTGCTAAAATCTGCAAGTTGATATATGGTAGAAGATTATTTAGCAAAATATAATGGACTTCCTGGGTTGCATTCCATCTATTAGGCTTACAATTATGTCCTTACACCCTTCCCCTTCCATTGATGCGGCATGGGTCTGGGTTCCTTTCAGTTGTCCACTGAGTTCAATTATCTGATAGGTTCAAAATGAAAGAACAATGACATTAGTTCCTTTGTTTTTTTTTTTCCTTTGGTTGTAATACATCAAATTTATCTTGAGATGCATATTCCTCTGCTCAGTTTTGGCACTCTTCCATCTCTGTTGTTTATCTTATCTTATTTCTCGTTGTATCGATATTCAGCTTTAATCGAACTTTTTTAAAAGTCTCTTGTTATCAATAATTTGCTTATCTGCCACAGGGACCCTGAAAATTAAACATCTAGTAGTAATTGCAGGGAAGTACAATTAACATGGTTTAGTGTAAGCATTTTAAAAAGTGTATACATGATATACTGAACTCTGCTGCTGAATGGATCCTAACAAGTAGCTAAATCCTTCAAACTATGGTCGGTCTGGTTGATTTTCTCTTTTTCTGAAGCAAGATATCATATTGTGGCGTAGATTTTGTAGCCTGTTGGTGTTTGATTTCCCCCCATTTGTGCTGTAACGGATTTTGATGGATCTTGGTCATCTTTATGGTTTTAGGCTCAAGTACATTGCCGTGGCTTCTAATTCTAAATGAAAATTGATATCACAGGTAGATGCTGTCGTGTACCTGGTCGATGCCTTTGACAAAGAGAGGTTCGCAGAATCGAAAAAGGAACTTGATGCTCTTCTCTCTGATGAGTCTCTTGCTACCGTGCCATTCCTTATATTGGGCAACAAGATCGACATTCCTTACGCTGCCTCAGAGGACGAATTGCGCTACCACCTTGGTTTGACCAACTTCACCACTGGCAAGGGAAAGGTAAATCTGGCTGATTCGAACGTACGCCCATTAGAGGTATTCATGTGCAGTATCGTTCGCAAAATGGGTTACGGCGATGGTTTCAAGTGGATGTCCCAATATATCAAGTAGTTAAGATCGACCAGGTATGTCCTACGGTTTTGTGAACCGATGAAATCCCAGCGTCCCAAGCCCCCAGAGTCCTCAACGTACTGATTGCAGTTTGATATTCAGTGTGTTTATAGGGGCTTTGAATTGGACTTTTTTGCTTTCAGATGATGTGTGGAAGGAGGTATTAATGCTTGCTTTGTAAAATTCACTTCCTGCCTCAACTTTATTATTTTTAACATTCTTATCTCTTGTTATTCATCTAACTCGGTTAGGATGAGTTTTTCTAATTTGTTGATCATCAACACTGGACTTTGAGGGCATGGATGAATATTAGGTTAAAAAATTATTTAGGAGTTCTAAATAAGAAAATCATGGCTTATTGGGAAGACTGTTTCCAAAACAGTTTTATGTTTCTTTGGAAGAATAATTCAGTGATGAACTATTTCATGTTTGGCTAACTTTTTATTAGAAATCCTGTTTTTTCTTTTTTCCCTTTCTTTTCTTGTTTATTTTCACAATGATGTGAAACCAATGTGGAAGATATCAGTCGCGTCGTGTTAAGTTCGATAGTCGAGCTTATCAATGTAAATTTATAAGTTTGTTATAAATTTACTAACCAAAGATTACAAGTTTGTTAATTTTCCCGGCGACGTAAACTAATGGATCATGTATTTAGGCTTATGAAGTTCACTTTTTATGTATATCACCAACATTTATGTATTATAATGAATCTACAAACCGTATATAAAAGTTACACAATTTAGGTTTCTATAAATATTGTTGTACAATTCAAACACATTTGTCTAACTAGACAGATTCAGACCGCTTAATCCAACTTCAAACCATCCCATTCCCATTAAATTTATATTATTCAACATTGATAATTAATGCTCTCCTTGATTTATTTTTTTGGAAATTATGGCGGTTTGTTCGCAATTTTTTCTTTGGTATATTTTTACCATTTTTCAAAAATACATTTGAAATATTAGTCAAATTTTAAAATTAAAAAGGTTAAAATATTATTTTGGTTCTTGTACTCTACTTTGGCTCATTTTAGTTTCTATATTTTCAAAATGTTTATTTTGGTCTCTGTACTTTTAAAAAATGACAATTTTTCGTCTCTATTTACAAACATTTAAGACAAATTCTATGCATAATGAAAACTCTTTAATATAAAATAATAATTACATTTCAAGAACTATATTGAGTGGTATTGTGTTGGAATTATGATAGAAAAAATGAGATTAAAAATAAAATTAAGAGACCAAAATAGTCACTTTTAAAAGTACAAATCAAAACAGTATTTTAACCAAATAAAAATAAGTTTTCATAAATTACTTTTTTTTTAGTTTTTAAAATTTGAGTTAGATTTTAAAAAACAATTTCAAATAGTAGATGTAAAACAAAGAAAATCGGTGAAAGTATAATTTACAACTTAATTTTTAAAAAACATAAATCCAAAAAAAAAATGATTATCGAATAGAGTTAAAATATTTGGAAGTGGATTGACGGATCCAAAGACTTTTTCAAGTTACAAAAATAGCTTTGAAGTTTATCCTATATTTAAAAAATATTCCTATCCACTACTTTTTTTTAATAAATTTTGTAGGGTCAGTTTTAGATAGATATGTTTTAACCCGTTGAGCTATGTTCTGGTTAATTTATCCATTATTCTTGAAAAACGTTTCAAACATACACTTTGAGCAATCGTTCGTGGTATAATATGAAACAATGTGACAATTAATGTAGAAGTTTGTCTTGATTAAGTACGAAAAGAAAGAAAATATGGAATAATCCCTTTTTAGAGATAATATCTTGGGAGAGCTATTTTGAAATCTTAATTACATGAATGTCTTTAGGTTTCAAAATTTACACTTTTAGATATTTACAGTATTTTAATACCGTTTCTACCCTTATTTATTGCTTTTTATTTTATTATGATTTTTAAATTTTAAATATTTGAATATTTAATTTGTAATTATATTCATTTAATTCTTGTGGCCCCATTCAAAATTTCAACCTTAATTCCTCAAATCTCTCCTTTAGAAAAGATTTTTTTCTCACTAATTAACAACTTCCAATTTTGTTAAATGAATTAAATGCTGTCGATTCTCTTTCCTCGTTTGCTGTCGATTTTCTCCAGCCACCGTGCAAAGTCGATTTTCTTCACCGCTGTATTCGTTTCCAAGGTGCAAAGACGTCGGCTGCCAGACCTTCATTTTTCATCTTTAGGGCTTTTATGAACAAGGTATTTATTTCTTTTGCACGTTTCCAACGCCGTTCATTCCCGTTCATTCCCGTCGACATCTTTGCAGGTTTCCAACGCCGTTCATTGTACACCAAATCAACGAGGTATTGATTTCTTCTTCCCCCAGACACGTCCAAACCTTCAATTCTCGTCGCTGAATAAACTTTCTGTCGATGTCTTTGGACGTTTCCGACGTCGTGCAGCGTGTTCCTCGTCTCCTGTCCCCTTCTGTTTATACCATGGGTAATTAATAGTCTTCCGTTGAGATTGGTATATATGAGGATATATTTTATGTATGTGTACAGAAAATGGAAGTTCTAAACGTCTCACAGTGTGAGTATTCTTGATTATATTCGTATATATAGGTATATATTGTATATGTGAATATATCTTATATGTGTATACATATATCTTATAGTTATGTAGAAATGGTCCTCCATACCATTTGTAATTATTAGTCTTCCGTTAAGATTGGTATATATGGGGATATATTTTGTTTATGTGTATAGAAAATTGAAGTTCTAAATGTTTCATATTCTTAGTATTCCCTATTATATTCGTATATATAGGTATATATTGTATATGTGTATATATCTTATAGTTGTATACAAGATATAAACGCATATATCCTATAGTAATGTAGAAAGGGTCCTCCAAAACTGAAGTTTTAAACGTCTCATGGATGAAGCGAAAAAAGTTCTTAGATTTCGAATTTGGGAGATTTTTGGACGGGATTTTGAGATATTTTGGGAGGTTATGATTTCAATTTTGGAGAATTTAGGGTTTTGTTTTTAATGTTTTGGTGTTTTAATTTGTTTTGGAAAGTATCGTTAACCTAAAATTATGGGATCTAAATTATAATCTTCCAATTAATCAATTTTGTATATTAAAATGAATTTGTAAATACAAGAGGCTATTTAAGTAATTTATACGATGGGTACCCTCGATTGATAGATGACAAATGTGTAAATTCTATACATTCCCTCTTTTTATGTAATTAGGATCTTTAAATAGTCAATGTACTCATCCCTAATAAAAATTAAAGTTAAATTGGATAGACAATGGATAAAACAAACTTTCTTGACAATAGAAGAAGTAAGGGTAAAATTAAGACATTAATTGTCACCTTATTCCAAATTCTCCCGTGTCAACTTTTCGATCAAAGTATTAAAAATTGCTTATTCAAAATGAATTTTAAAAATATTTATGAAATATCACACATTTTAAAAAGTAAGGTGACGGAGGAAAAAAAAAGTCGAGTGGTTTGACGAATAAAATTTAATAGTTGGTATGATTAATTTATAATTGTTTTGGGAATGTAAAAGCTGATTAGGTAGCAAATCGGAGAAGATAATAAAGATTTTGGTTTTCATTTTCCAACAATAAAAAAATAATTATAAAAAAGAAAAGAAAAGAATTGTGGGGATGTTTCCAAGAAAACCTAATCAATCCCTACTCTTTTGCCTAGAAACTCACTTTCCCACAACTTGCCCTCCCTTTCCATTTTTTTTTTTTATTTTTTTTCCCTGAAATATAAAATATAAGTTTCCGACTAATAAAGTATTATTTACTTAATGGTATTTTGTTTTGAAAACTTTCAATTTGTACTTAATTTTTTAAAGTTTTCACTTATACTTTAATGTGTTTGAAAATTCTTAATGAGATTATTCTAAAAAAAAAAGGACTTAATTTTTATTAAAATTTTATATTAGTAACATAATGTACACATGGCATATCATGCTGCTTGAACATACATACTTATAAAATAAATTTCGTGATGGACAGATTGAATTTCATGTGACCATAATTTAAGATCCATTGACTTTTTTTTTTTAAAAAAAAACTTTTAACTGAAGACGTACCATTTTTAACCTGCTTAATTGAGAATGTTTTGTATGCTAATTGACAACATTAATAATTTTAAAAGATTTAAGGACTAAAACTAAAGTCAACCGAAAAGATTAGAGACTACTGAGGATGTTTTACTCTTTTTTTTTTTCTTTTCTATGTTTTTCTAAAAAGAAAGAACTGATTCTATTAAACTTTAGACTATATAATATCAATTTACATGAGCTAGAATATTTAAGTATTATTTGTGAGAGTATGCTCAATCCAACACTTATTTTTTAACTTTTATTGTTAGTTAAAGTTAGTTCCAAGACTTTACTAAATTTTATAACATTGTATGTAATCAATAGGGCATTGGGTGTGGGGGAGATTCCCAAAATCCACCACTCTAAGTTGATAGCTTTTTTTTTTTTTTTTTATAAAGTTGATAGATTTAGATTTGTTTCCATTCTCAACCATTATCTGCTGCTTTATGTTATTATGACATATATTAATCTTCCTAAAACTTTTTAACCCTGAAATTGGGATTGAGATAAACTTTATTGATTTGGGATGTGTTTGAGAGTGATAGTAGAAGAAATAATTTTGAAAAAAGAGATTTAAGAATAATTGATTTTCCAAAATCACCGTCGAAGTGATACATTAAAAATCAATTTTAAGTGATTTTATGTTTTTATAAAATTAATTTTTAAATTTACCGAACATGATCAATGAAAATGAGAGTAATTTTGTCATGCCAAAATCACTCTAAAAACACCCTTAAATAGGTACAAATGATCATTTTCATTTTTTTAAATGGTAAAGACACAAATTAATACAAGATGATTAGAGTGTGTATATTTCTATTTATCTGACTCTCTAAATTTTATATTTCTTTCTCTTCCGAACATTTATTGTTTCTCTCCCTCTCTTGATTTTCCTTAGGGATGTTCATTTTTGTTCCTGTGGGGATCCGTCTAAACGAGATAGGGATGGAGAAATTTTTTTCTGGTGCTAGCTCCCCATTCGCCATCCGTCCGCTTTATATTTATATACACTAAAAAAAATCATATTCTTCCCTACCTATCAAATATATAGAGGATTAAATCAGATAAATAAAGTTTTACAATTGAAAATTAATTAATTAATTAAAAATTTCCTTAAAAAATATTTAATTGAGAAATAATTCTAAAAATAAAAGAATAAAATGGGAAAAATCCCCGCAAAGAATCCTCGCCCGATCCCGCAAAATTCCCCACCCCTATTGAGTCAAACTCTTGATTTTGCCCTCATTATAAATTGAGGATTAAACTCCTAATTTTCACAAAGTAAAAAAAAAGAATGAAAGAGTAAAATTAATTAAGATTTATAAGCAT